CAAAGCGCCTTGATTCGCCTTCCCATCAGTCGTGGCGCCCACCTCCTTCGCTTTGTCTGTCAAACCACCTAATCCTCCCTGGTTTAGCACGCGCCCCTCAACTTCTGATGGTGGTACCAGGGTCACACTTGGGCCCAACAGTGTCTCTTTGGGGGTGACAGACGAGGGTGACCATCCTGGCGGGGGACCTGTTCCGAAGGCCCTCCAAGCCCACTCATCATCCATCTCCTTAGTCAAGCTTTTCTTCGAATTATCTCCTGCCATGATACTTGTTATATTCTTCCTTGGTGAGAAAAAACAACCTTTAATGCTCCGGTAGAAGACTGATTGTCCCACAGACGGCGCCAATTTGTTATGCCACACAAACCTGGACCGCTGGACCGCTCCTCCTCGAACCGGGCTACGTCTCCTTGATCGCCGGCACCTGCAAAACACGCCGGGGTGGTCCCGCCGCGAACACTCCGACGCTCAAGTCAGTGGTGATCCGAAGAAAAAGCGACATAGTAACGAGAGAATTTGTATGTGTGTGTCGTGTAAATGAAATAACCTGCGCCCCTTTTATAGATGAAGACATGTAGAGGCTGTAGAGTTCTTATCATACCATGAGTCTTCTCCTCAGATTAGGTCAAAATTCAAAGAGTCCTTGAGGCTACGAATCTCTTTATGATTTAAGTATGATACCCCCGCCAGCTACCTAGGTGCCCAGGTGCTACCTGCCTACCTAGTTCACATTAGGCTAGCCTCCGCTGACCACCCATGTACTCCAAGGGTACCATGGGCTGCGCCTACCAGAACCTTCGTCTACCGACCATGTACCCTAAATGTACCATGAACTGCGCCTACCAGATTGGACCACCCGGCTGAGTGTGACTAGAACCCGGATCACAACCGGTCCTCTATGAGCCGCTACTAACGACCACATCAGAATCTGATATATTCACAGGATGGGGAATTAGTTTCATTCTTCTATTATCTCGGTACGTGTTTTTTCATTTTCAATTAAATGTCTAACTATTATAAAATTGTCATACTTTGATAATATTATAAGGTAAAATTGCATCAAAATGTACCACCTTCTAACTTTTTGCATTTAATCACCACATTTCAGAGTTTGCAATTAAGTACACCAACTTTAGACATTTGGCAAATCGAAGCATGTCAAACGGAAACCGACACCTGCTTTCTTACGTGGTATCGTCGGAAAATTACGTGGAAATCGAAAACACACGTGGAAGTCCAAAAATAACAAACAAAAAATTAAAATGCCACAAAATCAGTCTACCTGGCATATTTGCTAAAATAAAATCAAAATTAAGTAGCTCCTCAGCCCTAAATTCAAAATCAGTGGAACAACGTAGAACCTTAAATTGCAAAAGTGTCGAACAATTTGAACCATGGGGGGAGATTTATCAATCTTGATGGTTCTGTAGATTATTTTGGAGGTGAGTTATTTTGGCCACAAGAGAACATTTTGAATTGATCGACATTTTTTCAATTTAAGGTTCATAGTTGTTCGACTGATTTTGAATTTAGGGTTGAGGAACTACTTAATTTTGATTTTATTTTAGCAAATCTGCCAAGTATACTGATTTTGTGGCAATTTAATTTTTTGTTTGGTAATTTTGGACTTCCACGTGTGTTTTCGATTTCCACGTGAATTTCCGACATTGCCACGAAAGAAAACCGGTGCCGATTTCTGTTTAGCATGTTTCGATTTGTCAAATGTCTAAGTTGGTGTACTTAGTTACAAACTTTGAAATGTGGTGATTAAATTGCAAAAAGTTAAAAGGTGGTGCATTTTAATGCAATTTTGCCATATTATAAACATAAATATGATATTCAATTAAAAAAAAATATATATTTTTATTTTATTTATAAACTAGGACAGGTCTCCGTTGAACACACAAGAATTTGTGTTTGACCAAAACTGCAATCTTGTGGGGAAGTATTTTGGTTGGGCGACAAAGACAATCAATTATTGAGAATTAGGAGTAAAGAATTTTGATTAAAAATGATGTGTTAATCTTTGTAGATTGGTATGATAATCAGTTTGTTGTTTCCTAAAAGCTAACGATGATGTTGAATGCAATGGCGCATTTATTTGACTTTTTAATGTCGTTAAGTATATAAATTAAACTAGTAATCAATCATATATACATGCACTTACACTACAAGAAAATATTTCACTTTTAACGAAAAATTCCAACGGCAAAAATTTCTGTTGGAAATTCCAATGAATATTCCAACAAACTTAATTTTATGTTAAAATAAGTGTTGGATGGTTGAGGAATTCCAACGGATTTTTTCCGTTGGAATAGTTGTAGGAATTTATTTCCATAGGATTTTCTGTTGGATTTTAGCTATTCCAACGGCCGTTTTTCCCACGAATTTTTATACTTAGGAATATCCGTTGAAATAGCTATTCAAACGGAAAATATAAAGAATTCCAACGGAAAATTCCATTGGAATGTAAGAGTTTTTTTTTTTTCTTTTTGTAGTGTTATATATATATATAGTCTATAGATAAAAATATAAATCATAAATATGGATATTATAATTAAAATTATTAGTTAAATAATTGACATATCTCATTTTATAAATTAATTTCACAATTAGTAAAACCAAATATTATAACTATAAAATATTTTAAGTCATAATATCATAAGTGAAATAATTAGAATAAAAGTCTCAAAAACAATCTTAAATAACACTAATATAATTTTATTAATATGGTAGGTTTATTTGTTGTATATAGAAGGTTGGCTTCACTATAGAGTCAACTGTTGGCTTCATAACAAAACCGCCTAAGATGAATGGGAAAAATATAAATTAATTTAAAGTTAATGTGGTGGTTGAATTTATGCAACTTGATTAATATTGAGTTAAAGTAACTCAAAATTAATATGAGTTGAAATTAAATAATTGAGCTTAAAAATACAACTAAATTAATAATCAACTTTGTTAATCCATATAAAAAACTAATAAGACTATGTAGTACAGAACTAATTAAGAATGAATGCAGTACATTTACTTTTTCTTTCTCCTTTTAAGGTCAATGAAGTACCATGACATTTTCAAACACACAAAATTGTCACGGTTTCTCTCTTTTATTAGTATACATTTAAAATCTTGTCTAACATGCTAGTTAAAGTATAATTGCTGTCGGTCACTATTAAACGTGTTAAATTTAATTAAACACGTGCACACACATCTTTAGTTTAACTCGCTAGGGACTCGAATTCGGCTCAATCCCGACAACTGACTCGTTTAATATTTAACGAGCCGAACTCGACTCGGCTGGTTAGATCATGCTTGAGCTTGAGCACCATGGCTCGAATTGGGCTTGGATTGCTTGTATCCCTGGTGATGATTGATAAGACATGTGATTAAATCTATATGTATAACAATAATAGGGAAAAACTATTTTTCATTCCAATACAAAGATATATTAATTTTTTTACAACGTCCACTAACAATCTACTTTTTCACTCTGGGAAGTGCGAAGGTTATGCGAATAGACCGCATAACTGTCGCATATCAATTGCATAACTGTCGCATATTCATCGTGCAATGCTTTCGCACCTTAACTTTTTCCACCCCAGAAAGTGCGAAGGGATATACGAATGCATGCCTTTACACTTTTAACTTTCTCACAGTGTCATCGTGCAACTATCGCATATCCATCGCACATTGCCTTTCGCACTTTCTGGGGTGAAAAAAGTTAACTTACCAACGGGCGATGTGAAAAACTTAATACATTCCCATAGTGGGGTGAAAAAGACTATTTTCACATAATATTTAAAGTTCAAATTAGGAAATTTTATTATTTTTATATTTAAAAGTTGTTTGCATACACTTTAAGTTACATATATTTTACCATACTAACTAAATATTGTTATATTGGATATGTTCTTAATTATATTCTTCATTTTCTTGAGTGAAAAAATGATGCTATTTATATTTTTTAGTTTTAGTGTGAATATTCATATATTCTAAACAAAAAGCTTATAATTTTTAATTTCTCACTCGGTTTTGTAAATAACATATCAAAGAAGTTTTTTTTTTTTTAATATTTTTTTGTGTTACACCGTACTTCATATGAAAATTTGAATGATAATTATTCTTTAATATGAATTAAGTTAATATATATTTATATATCAATGTCATTGTTAAGAAAAATAATTGTTTTAAAAGTTGTTTATAAGTAAGTTGTAAATAATTAAATATGTATATATTATGTTAAAAATAGCATAAACTATATAAAATAGTATTTTTTTATATATATTTTTATATGTAAGCTTGAACAATTATTGTTACTCTATATGTAATATAAAAGTTGGATCATGGATTCAACAATTTAAAACATCAAATATGTCGGTATCAAATGAGATAGAAAATACTAAGAGCGCTTGGATGAGATAGTTTGTCTCTTCCAACTTAACTAGTGGTCTCGTGTTCGAGTCCTGAGAATGCAGCAGTGTTAAAAACTCTTGAGGGAGAGCTTTGCCACCCTTGTGGTCCTACCCGACTCGATTCCGAATTAGTCGGTTCCCCTGTGGATCCGGAAACCAAAAAGTCCCTGTACAAAAAAAAAAAAAGAAATAGATAATTAAGGTATCGTCACTCAAGTTACTGTACAAATTGTTGACATGAAAATCAAATTACTATGTGCCAATTGAAATAATTTACATTAACGTGGAGGAATATCAAATGATAAATCAACAAGTCGTCGAGTCACTGTGCGAATTATTGAATTGGGAAGAAATTTATGTGTACTGGTTGAAATAATTAACATTTAATGGGGAAATGCTACATTCTCACTACAGTATCATCCCGTTAGATGTTTTAACCGTTGAATTCACATGTAGTTAGATAAAATAAATCATCCAACAATTAAAATACGAACAAGATGGTACCGTAATGTGGATGAAACTATCCAATAGAAAGAAAATAAAATAGAAATTTAAATTGATGGCCACAAATTGATTGATAATTTGGAGAGATTCTACGGTCCCGTTACGGGGCCATTCCGTTGAAGTTTATAACCGTTAGATCAATTATCCATGACAGTTATATGATGATCTAACGATTACAAATTCTGAAAGAATAGTTGCGCGACAAGCATTTCCCTAATAATTTGATACAGCATATATTTTATTTTTCATTATTTATTATTTTGTCCCTACACCTGACAAATCACTTTCTGCGTTTTATCGTGTTAAATTTTAAGCAATTAAATATTTTGCAGGGACTCACATGTGATCAAAATTTATTTCATTCTAGACTACCCCAGAATCAAATTAACATGTGTACATAATTTTAAATTAATATGTCATTCTATAATATTAATATATATATGTTGACCTAAAAATCTGCTTAAGCGTTGGATGACTGACACGTGGACGGCGAGAAAGTGAAGGGGGTACGCCCAAAAGTGCCGAGAAAACGTTGCCCGACCTGTGGTGGC